TTCCCCCTCCCCCCATCATATTAGTTCTTAATCCCCGACCCCTTGGTGCCCAACCAATTCCAGCTTCCTCTTCCCCCCACACAGCTCCCAGTGCCAGCTTTTTTTTTTTTAATGGTTGGTTTTCAGTAAGAATTTTCAGTTTTACGAAAACTTAATTCTCTTCATTTTTGTTAAAACCCCAAATACAAAAAAGATTAAGAAGGAGGTCAGAGTTGATTAAAAATGCCAATTATATTTTTCAGAAAAGTTTGAAGAAAGTTGTTGTTGTTGTTTTCCCCCCTAGTTCCCCCCTGGGAAAAAAATCGTTTTGACCAAAACATTTTCATGAGAAATATTTTTAAATGATTTTTTCCCCCCCAAAAAAGGTCATGCAAAATTGTCATTTTTTACTATGTTATTTAGAGGTGGACCTTGAAACCTTTACTCATATGTTGAATAATATCTTACTCCTTGGATAATCTCATTGGAATCAAGAGGACTACTTGAAGAGCAAACTCAACGTGAGAATGGCAGAATTGAGCCCCTAACTATTTATAATAATCCAGGCTGCACCTCAAAATACAAATTAAACCCAGTTTTTCCCTTTTACTAATGTTCAGAACCAAAACATGCCTCACAGCTACTTCCACTAAATAGCCTGACAACACTGCAGAAGTATTTTAAATATTTCTAATCCTCTAAGTAGGTGTAGAAGATTTCCAGAAAGATTAAGTTCCTGCCTAGCAAACCAATTTAGTTTCAAGCTTTAAGGCTACAATCTTCTTCAACTGGTTGACTGCGAACAGTAGATCCAGTCCACTGGATGAAATAAGTGAACTCGGGTCAAAATAAAGCATATAGCATCCCTTTATAATTCTGTAACAAAACAGTAAAGCATTTTAATTGTTTAGGAATCTATTGTTACCTGGAAGCAACTCAACTAAAGAAACTTAAAAATAAGAGAGGGTCCTGTGGTACCTTTGAGACTAACAGAAGTCTTAAAGGTGCCACAGGACCCTCTGTTGCTTTTTACAGATTCAGACTAACACGGCTACCCCTCTGATACTTAAAAATAAGAATCTATCCCCACCTCACCTAGAGCAATAGAATAACAGATAGTGTGTTCTCTGGGGCAGGGACTGTCTTTTGCATCACACGAGGCCCTGACCTAGTCATTACCACAACACAACTACTAAATAATCATAATGTTAGAGACCTATTAGGTTATACATTCCATTCCCCTGACAATACCAGTCTGCTGTATGTGTACTAGGAATAATTTATTGCTAATGGCTTGATCCCTGAAAACACACTTCCAAACAAAATAACTCTACAGTAAGCACGCTGACCCAGAAGTTCTAAACAAATGTACTGGTTCCAGTAAACTAGTAGTATGGTCCCCACAGAAGAGCTTTACCAATACCTCTATGCAATGCACCATGCAATGCCTCCGCTTCTTAGGCCCCTCTGAAGACAAACTGTCGTGCCAGTCTGCACAGTGGTTTTGTGATAAAGTCGTTGTAGCAAGAGGTCTATTTTTAGACCCCCAACCTCCATCTGCGCACATGCAACTTTGCAAACACATACGTGACGTGAAAATTCTACAATCTGCTTTATATTACTGTAAACTCATTTCATCTGGAACCCAAGACAGCTTTGAAGAACATCTCTAGAAATGAACAGCTAGTACAATAATCCACTATGCTGCTCAAAATGAGAAGTTAAGTATCATCTAAAGCAGTGGTGCCCAACCTTATTACACAGGGGGGCCACATAAACCTAAGCACAACCTTGTGTGGGCCAAACAGATTCTGCCTGGGACTGACAGCCCAAGCCCTGCCGCTTTATGACATGCTCTGGCAGGCTATGTAGGGATCCCACAGGCCATAGGTTGGGCACCCCAAGCGAGAGAAAGACTTATTACCGAGGACAGCAAAGAAATGCACTCAGAAAGGGTCACGTTTCATGTGTCCCACGAACATCGACCAACTGGCCTTAATAAGCAATCCACAGCTTTCAGTCTGGGTGAGCAGTGAAACCTGCCTCCCTTAACTCTCTCTCCCAGACTCCCAACCACAATCACATCCTCCTCACAACTTCTATTAGAACATAGAAAAAAACAGAATGTCAGGGTTGGAAGGGACCTCAGGAGGTCATCTAGTCCCATCCCCTGCTCAGAGCAGGACCAATCCCCAGACAGACTTCTAGTGGCGCCTACTTCATTTCCCCCTACCTGTGACCCACCAAAAAGAGCCAGATTGGAATGTAAAAGGATCCCTGCTGCTAGGCTTTGCTGCTGATGGCATGAGTCTGTTAGTCCAGGAGCAGCACGGTGCTGAATCAACTCTCAGCCTCACAGAACAACTCCTCAGCCGGAAATACTGCAGCAGAGGAATGGGGATGCTTCAGTCTGATAGCTCTGAAATGGGCTGGAAGAAATAGCGACCGAGATTTTTAAGAGTGACTACTGATTTTGGATCTCCATTTTTGAGTGCCCAACTAGAAACACCTGATTTTCAGAAAGTGCCAAGCACCCACCCTATGAAATCAAGTTCCTTTAAAAGGCCTCAAGTTGGTCACTTAAAAACTCAAGCCCTTTGGAACAATCAGGATTTTTGAACAGTCAGATACAGCCCTACAGAAAATATTAGGACATTTTTAACCTCTGCACGTCTTACTTCCCACTCCCAAACATAGAAATATAAGAAGACAAAGCAAGAAAGCATGATCAAGGGAAACCCGAACAAAAGAAATAATACGATGCTGGAGTGTCAAACTCTGGAAAACCCAGTCTAGCCATTTCATTCATTGCAAATCAATACGCCCAAAACACCAAGTTCTCCTTTTGAGTAGAGGTTCCTCAAATGTTGTTATAGCTAGACCACATCTTAATAGATTGATTGCTTGTCAACACCTCCCCTCTGATTGGAAACCCAATCTCTCCCCTCCCATCCGTAATCACACAAAGTCCCTGCAGCAGCTACAAAAATTGTTTGCACTGGAAAACAATATTAGAAAAGCATTTATGACATGTCTTTACACTATTTAGCAAGTGGAAACCGGGAAGAGAACCCCACTGCGCAACAGCCAGCTTTCTGCCAATCACCACTAAATGCTGCGCCCAGTGATCTGGGGACGAGTGTACAGGAACCTCTGCTTCACACAGGGCAAAACAAAGCCGCTTCCCCTCTTTGCAGCCCGGTTCATTTGTAAACTAAAAAAAAAAAAAAAAACCAACCTCACAACGAAGATCTCTCTGCATCTAAATATTAATGTTTCTACTAGGCCAAAGCCAAGAATTTTGGTCCTGAATTTCCACCAAGTCCTGAGGCAAAGGGCTCCTGGTTAACGTTCTTCTCCAGTTTGTACATCTGTATGTTCAACACTATGTAGCATTCTTTAGCTGAAACATCTGACTATCAAGGCCAAGACTGCAAACAAACTGGATTATTCCACCGAGGGGTGTGTGTGTCATCTTTATGTACAAGTAACACAGTAACTTTTTGGGACTGAAGGATGCCGTCTCGTTCATGCCACCACATCAGCTAAAGTTTCTGCACTGAACATTCGTGTTTCTTTTAAGTCCCTGGCTTGGATCGTCTCTGAAAGCACTAACAATGTAATTAAATGTTAAGTTAGCAAAAACCAAAATCACAAGCATCAATGGATGGTATATGCAGTAAAATCTACAGAAAAAACAGCCTAACCACTCACCATGACAGGACAGAATCGTGTTTCTTTTGTGTGGTGTCTGTATGAGCAGCAGTACGGTTACTCCTGGGGGAATTCTGTAGCACTGAGCAAGTGCAGAATTAATGTCCCCTGCAGATTTTACTCTTTCCCAGCAGAATAATTGATTCACACATCCCAGGCGGGTGCGTTTGGTTTGGGCATTGGAGCCAGCCAGGGGAGACGTAAATCACTGCATAGGGAGGTGCGGCGGGGCGTGTGTGCAAGACTCTGTCCCTCTCGCTTGCTATCGCGGTGTGCCTGGAGCCGGAGAGGGGCATGGCTGGGGAATCCCCAGCCGGTGGCTCCGATCATACGCCGGGCTCCAGCTGCTAGTCAGGTGCTGAACTATCTGTACATATTTCAGTGCTGTACCAGATCAGGGCCTAAATTCACTCCTAAGGATGTCCTGCCCTTTAGGATATGTCTACACAGCAAAGAAAAACCTCTGTCTGGCCTGGGCCAGCCAACTCGGGCTTGCGGTGCTTGGGCTGCAGGGCTGATTCATTGCTGTGTAGACTTCTGGACTGGGTTGGAGCCCAGGCTCTAGGACCCTGCAGAATGGGAGGGTCCTAGACTTCTGGTTCTAGTCTGCACCTGTAATTCTGTACAGCAATGAAACAGCCCCACAGGCTGAGCCCATGTCAGCTGGCACAGACCAGCCACGGGTTTTCCTTTGCTGTGTAGACATACCCTTGAAGTCTTCTGTGCTTTACATACATGGAAATATTAGTATTGCTCTCTGCTCTGTGGAGCCATATACATGTGCTAATATGTCGAGTAAGGAATCTATTTGTCAAAACAAATTTCCTGACTCTTTTTTTGTTGTCTATATTGTTACAGACATACTTGCTGACAGGTATTTTGAAATAAATGACCAAAATAATTGAAAATGGCATAATTATATTGTGTTGACAAATAAAAGATGAAGAATTATGCAGAATTTTAAAATATAGTGCACAGAATTTTTAACTTTTTGGCGCAGAATTCCCTCAGGAGTAGCACTGTTAATCTGTTCCAGTCAGTTATCTTACAGCTAATGAAGCCCTGACTCTGAAACTAATCACTGGGCCATTTGAGAAAGCTCACTGTCGCTTTCACAAGTCCATTAAACTTCTGTGGATATGGTAAATTTAGCCTCAAATCAAGTTCTGATGAACTAGGGGATTTATTTAAAAGCAACATTTAGGTCTGTAACAGCTTCTAGACCCCTAACTTCACAGTCAAGGCATCTACTACATCTTCAAGGGGTATTTACCAGATCAGAACATTTTTTATGAAAATATATTTACCTGGAGCATTAGTTCACAGTCATCTCTGCCAACAAATATCATCTCCCGAGGGAGCCGGTGGCGAATGCCAGTGCTGCTCACCAGGAACCACGAAGTCACACTCATTTTGGTGTTTGGCACTTAACCTTTAAACATCCTGAACAAATAGAACAACACATATATAGTTTGTTATTAGTTATTGGCCAATAACAGAAGCAAGTTAATTGACAGCATTGAAATTAATCTGAATGCATTAAGCAAGTTTTGTGGGAGTTTATAAACAGATTAAAATACATGGCTACTGGAATCCAATGGCTACAAAGCCGACAGGTGGTATAGAAGCAGAAGTATTTATTCACACAACACACAGTCGACCTGTGGAACTCTTTGCCAGAGGATGTTGTGAAGGCCAAGCCTATAATGGGGTTCAAAAAAGAACTAGATAAATTCATGGAGGATAGGTCTGTCACTGGCTATTAGCCAGGATGGGCAGGGATGGTGTCCCTAGCCTCTGCTTGCCAGAAGCTAGGAATGAGCGACAGGGGATGGATCACTTGATGATTACCTGTTCTGTTCATTCCCTCTGGGGCACCTGGCATTAGCCACTGTCAGAAGACAGGATACTGGTCTAGCTGGATCATTGGTCTGACCCAGTATGGCCATTTTTGTTCTTAAGCAGGAAGGCTCTCTAGACCAGGCTCTCTCTGGGCACTGACAACCCACTGCATCCTCCAGACTGGCAAGGAGCACAGTGCATGCTTCCTCCACCTCCATATTCAAACAGTCAAGCTAGTCCATAACTACTGGCCATACCAACTCAGGGAGCAAGGAGACATAACGTGCCCTCTTATGCTCCTTTGCGGGGTACCTGTATCACAGGCACAACACAACGCATGGGGAGGGGAAGGGCAGGTGGGTGGGGAATGGCGATATAGGGCAGGGAGTGGGCAGAGCCTTGTATCCCCCCATCTCAATGAGCCAGCCAGAGGAGTTCAGCTGGTACATGGTGGGGGATGCAACCTGCTATGGTTCTGTATCAGTAGCTCTTTACTTCCCCACCTCACCCCCACAGCAAGTGGGAAGAACCAGGGAACAGATTGTGGCTATCTGTGTTGTATCACAGTTGGCTCTCCAGTCTGCTCCAGGACAATGCAGCTACATACTTCCCATTATACCAGGCACACTGTTAAATCACAGTGACTGGTCAGAGATCAGTGATGTTAATGCATAAAGGAGCAGAGCATGACTTCTGCAGGCAACAGTTCCAGCAAACCTGTTTGCTGCTTGTGCTCTCCCATTAGGTTTCTGATGTCCCTGGGCAAGGGTGGATAGGGAAGAAAGTCATTTGTTTTGTGGGCAAGAGGAGGGTTTCTCTCTCTCTCTTCACCTTCCCTCCCCCACATCTCCGGGAAAAAAAAGAATGTATCACTACTTAGACTCCCTTCTTTTTTTCTATTCATTTGATTCCCCCCCCCACCATCTTCCTCTTCTCAAAGTTTTGTTTTGTTTCTAGCTATAGGTGAGAGTGTATGCGATGTCCTCTAACAAAGCAGGATGGATTAACAACACTAATGGCACGAAGGGGAAAGAGATCATTTAACATAACACATGCCCTATGATCTCTGCATTATAGAATCTTCCTTTTGAGGATCTCAAAGCATGTTTCAAATATGAAGTAAACTTCATAAGCCCTGGGGCAAGTATTACTATCCCCTTTTTACTGTGTGTAATTATAGTCACATGACACTAAGTTCACATGAAAAGATACCCCTAGTTATTGAGCAATTTGGGCTATGCTCCTTTGGCTTTACATCCTCTTCTCAGGAAAGTGCCTAACTTGGCTTTTGGGCTGATATGGAACTATTAACTCCTGGGACATGAGCCCACAACTGCGATAAGACTACAAACGCTATCCTGCGTCAGTCAAAATGCCATCATCCACCCAAGGGACATTGAAATGAGTTCCAAGATAGTGCTTGCCTTGGGAGGCTCAGAGAGAGATTCTGGTCTGTCTTGGATTATGAACTCCTTGGGGCATGGATTCTGACTTCATCTGTATCCCATACAGCACCAAGCAGTCAGTGCTTAGAACACTACTGAGTATCCCTAACACATACTACTGGAGTGCCTTTATTTTTCTTTTTTAGCATCTGTGAGTACCCCTGAACTCCTCTGGTTCAGTCCATCCCTTCTCAGGTATTCCTTGTTGGGAACATAAAAGCACCACGATGTGGACAATCACCGAAAGCCACCTGGCACCAGTGCACCAAGAGCTGACAGAAGGAAAGGACTTCTCCTGCAGAAAGGATGTGACTATAAATCCACTCCCCTGTCACCTCTAGCCTATTCAAAACAGCCTCACTGACTTGAGTGGGCACAATGCTATTCAAACGCCTGGGCACTCTGTAAGTGCAAGACGCCAGGAGGCCTTGCATTCGTACCAAAAACTATTTGTGAAGGGCAGGGACCCAGACAGAAAGGTCTGCGCTGTTACGCTGCTAGTCCTACAGAAACGCTAGGGGATAAAGAAACTCAGCCCACCTCTTGACACTACATTTTGCTTCTAATGCCATGCCGTGAGCCCATGTTGGCATTTGTTGCTAGGAGGAAGGGAATAAACACTCCATAAAGCTGCTATTGGCCCACAATGCAGAAAGTCAGTAGAGGAATTGAAGCTGCAACCCTTAGCTAGATTCAGTGGAGAGAGGCTGTATCTTTAATCAGCTCTCACGCCTAGCAGCAGACACCACTGAAACTAATGCTTATTATGGACATTTCTAAGAGGAGAGGAGGGTTATTTAGATAAGAAAAAGAAGAAGAAGAAACGGACAGAACAAAGCCACTTAATCCCATTGACTATACAAGTGTTTTTGTTTTTAAAAGGAGGGAGTGGGGAGGGGGGATTTACCAAGCCGCACACGGGATTGTTAACGTGATCTAATCCACCACAATGGAGAGGCAGAGATCGAGAACAAAACCCGCTCGAGGATGTTTAAGATGCTGATTGCATGTGTGGTGGGCCACCGATGCCAATAAACTGGCTGGCTTGTATATTCCTCCATGATCCGCCACCATTAGAAAGCTGCTGCCAGCCATCCACACCCAGGGAAAACACCAACCAAACAAGGTGCGACAACAAACCCTCCAGCCTGCGGGACCAAGAGCCGGGAGGGGGGGATAGACCCTATTAATCATGGGGGAGGCAGACCGGGGCTCTTTGTCTAGAGAGGACCGGGCTGGGGGAATGGGGGGGGGGGAGAGCAAGAGATCAGGGATAAGATGGTTTAAAGCACATTGTCTATTTCCCTGCCCAAAATCATCATGTGGGGTGGAGAATGGAACAGAGCAGAGCCGGGGGAGGGGAGCTCTGACCCCCCCCCCCCAGACTGGAGAGCGGCGGACAGCTCCCCCCAAGATCAATCGCCGCCACCAGGACTTGGAAAGGGGCCCGGCCGCCTTCCCCCGGGGCCCCCAGCCTGGCAGATCTCTCGGTGCAAACGCCCAGCGCCTCCTCCCCTGCCCCGCTCTCTGCACTGTACCCCAGATCCCCCCCCGGGGGCAGCCAGCTCCCCACCGCATCTCACAGCCCCGAGCCCCAGCAGCCCCCTGGGCAAGGCACCGAGCGGGCAGCGGCCCCGCTTCTCCCCCCTCCGCCCGAGGAGCCCGCACGCAGGCCCGGGCCGGCTGATGCACTGCAATCCAGCCAGGTGCTGCTGTGGCGGAGGCCGCAGGCCAAAGCCATTGAGGATCAGCTGTTTCCTGTCGGCTGCCGATCCATCCCCCTCGCCCGCCCGCCACCGCAGGCTCGCTCCCCGGCCCGGCCTCCCGGTACCTGCTCCAGCCCGCCGCGGCTGCCTGCCCCTGCCCCTCCGCCAGGTGCGGGTGGCGGCAGGTACCGGCTCAGCGCCTGCCTCTAGCCGGCTCTGCCTGCCCGACTGGCCGCTCCTCTGGCATTGCACATTGTCAGCTGCCGCCGGGCTCCTTCCCTCTCCTCTCCTCTCCTCTCCTGCCAGGGGAAGGCAGCGCCGCCTGCACTTGCACAGCAGGTTCTAGACGTCAGTAGGCGGCTCCTATCCCTTCCACCACCCTCGATCCCGTCTCTCCTGCAGCCGCCCTCTCCCGAGCAGACGATCCAGGTTAGGTCAGGTGACAAGCTGGTTTAAACATTAAAGGTGCCTGCAGCCTCAGCTCTGCTGTGACCCCAGTCACGGCGAAGTTGGTTGCAGCCGGGCATGCAACGCGCTTGGGTGTGTTCTGCAAGGAGCAGACATGTTCCAACCAAGAGTTAGGACGTGATAATGGGCAGGGCTTTTTCCTCCAACCCCCATAGGATTTAGGAGCTAGCAACACTCTGATTATTATTTATAGGGCACCGTAGCTGTGCAGCAGGCTTTACAGTAAATGCAATACTATGCAATTTGCCCACATTGTCAAAAGTCTGGGTGCAAAAATGGGTGGGCATTTTTGCTTGCAGGCACATTGCCCAATGTGCTTAAGAAGTTGGCCAGATGCTCATCTGCAACCCCAGCTAATAGGAGCACACCCATTCCTTGCATATGCACAAGTCGGAGCATGCCAGGGTGTGCATCTACTTTCACCCATTTATTAATGAAAATGTTGGCAGAAGGCCTTGCCCTTAACAGCTGGCAGGGTAGTAGCTGGTTGTGGTGCCAAATTTAGTTGATGTTGCAGAAGAAATCTATTGAGCTCTCACTGGTATTTCAAAGGTGCCTCTCATCCTGGTATCTGAACACCCAGTGTAACACCACAGTAGGCAGATCCTAATCTGATTGCTGGGTACTTGACTTTTTCATTCATAATGAACATTAATAATAATAGTAACATACTTCTCTTTTATAGTGTCTTTCATTCAAGGTTCTCAGAGGGCTTTGTAAACATTAATTAAGCTTTGCAACACTTCTGTGATGTAGACTGTATTATCTCCAGTTCGCAAGGCTATAAAATGAATGCAGCACATTCAGTGTCAGAATTAAGAATGGCGTTCTGACACCCAGTGCCCCAATAGATACCAACAGACAGCACTGCTCCTGATCCTCCAGGGTTCCCCAAGGAACTCTGGGATACATCCAGAAGGCTTCCGGGACCCAAGTCAAGCCAGGGCTACATGCACACAGGAAAGTAATAGGGCTCGGACTCTAGGTCCCAGCTTAACACGTGCTTGGACCTTCCAGCCCTGCAGGGTCTTGGGACCTTAGGTCCGAGCCCTAGGTTAACACAATTGGTGTGTGGATGCAAGGGGAGTTAGGTGTGAGCGCAGGCTCAAGCCTGGGCTACATTGCTGTGTAGACATACCTCCTTTGGCTTAGTGGAATAGGCTGAAATTCCATTCAGCATGCCTTTTTAAAGCATGCTTATCCTACTTAGTATCCTTAGCTGCTACTCCTTGAAGGAACGTATCTAAGAGTGATCGACAAGGGGTTGGAGTAATCCGGAGAGTTTGTGAATGGAATAAGAGACTGTTAAGGGAACAAGTTCAGGAAAACACATGTCGTTGATAGTGATTTACGAAGGTAACTAGAAAATCACTGATGCTCACTAGTATGGATAGCAGTCAGACAGCTTTTTTCTGTTGAAGGAAAACTGGAGCCACTGAGTATTATTATAATACATCCAGTGCTTAATTTGTAATGAAAGAGGTGCCGGGGCTCAAGCAATTTTTTTTTTACTTTCATAACTGACACGGCAAGCCCAGAGGTGCTGGAGCTATGAACTGCCAAGCCCAGAGGTGCCGGGGCTCAGCTCTGGCACAAATTAAGTACTGAGTGTATCCAGCTGTGTGCTGAGGCTGGTAGAGAGAAGGATCTGATTTTTAGAAGTGCTGAGTGCCCACAACTCCAGATGAAGTCAATGAGAGCTGTGGCTACTGAGTACCTAGCTCAGAAAACAAGGACCAATGTGGTCTCCAGGAACCTACCTGGGCATCTTTGTTATGTTTAAGAATTTTAATTAGGGACATAACCAACTATTTACAGTAGCAGATGGTGGCAGAGGCTACAGAGGACACTCACTTCTACCGCTGTTATGTCAATATAACTTCATTGACTACAGTGGCGCTACCCCGCTTTACACTGGTCACAACTGAATTCGGACTCCATTCTCGTGTCTTTATGTCTAGATAATACAGTGATTAGCACTCTGTAAATACTGGTAGGTATCATGCTTACCAGGAGGAAAGGCCATTGATTGTAAGTCCCAGAGTTAGGAGGGAGAAATAAGCGACAGCACAATTGGGAGAGGAGACCGCGTTTCTTCTCTTCCTCCCCCACTCTAAAAGCAGTAGTTATTAATAATTTGCATTATGATTACCCACTTTAATCAATGTTTGAGTTCTTCTCTGGGAAACACCATGTATCCAAATGTAATTCAGTGAATTGATTCTCTTCCAAGACCTAAGTGACCTTAAATGCAGCTCTGCCTGAGACTGCCTCTCTGCAGGAGTGATGCTTGGCTAGGATTCTCTTCTTCTTGTCTGCTCCAGCGTTGAGCTCCATGGGACTGACAGTAGGACTTTCTCAGTGGCAAGCCCTTGCCTTTGGTGTCCTTTCAGATCTTGTGCAAGGCGCATCTATTTAGTCTAGCACTTTACCCAGCCATAGATTTGCGGTAGCTGGACAAGGTGGAGAACTGTCTCCTTTCTGGGGCCATTTTCATTGGCCCTTGAGATCTGCTTGTGCATTTTTTGGAATATTGGTATAATTTATTATAGGGCCTTTATAAATAAATGTGAACTTTACTGCATTATTTGGTTTATTCTTTGGTTGTGTTGTGCAGTTATGGTTGATTTCACTATTGTATAGTTTATCTCATAAGTATTATCACTTCCTGTTGAACTACACTTGAGAAGTTTCTCTATTAGCCTAATCACCCAATAGGACCATAGTGGTACAATTTATTTTTCTACATGAGCCAACCATCTTCTAGGCAAATCTTTGTTCGTAGGTACCTATAAAAAGGTTTAAGTCACTTTCTCTATAGGGTTAGTACCTTTGAGATTGATATTATTTTGTGTGTGGGTGCACACACCCACCAATGAGTACTGTCAGTGTGGTCAGTACCAGGGCCGGCTCTAGGCACCAGCAAAACAAGCTGGTGCTTGGGGCGGCACATTTTTAGGGGCGGCATGGCCGGCGCCAGAATGCCGCCCCTAAAAATGTGCCCTGGCCGCCCTAGCTCACCTCCGCTGCTGCTGCCACAGCGCGCGAAACAGCTGATTCGCGCGCCGCTACTCGCCCTCCCTCCCAGGCTCTCAAACCTGGGAGGGAAGGGGAGCAGCGGCGCGCGAATCGGCTGTTTCGCACGCCGCGGTGGCTCGGGGTCTCCCCCTCCCTCCCAGGCTCTCAAGCCTGGGAGGGAGGGGGAGATCCCGAGCGGCCG